TAACGAGAGTTACCAAAGTTCGTTCTTAATTGTTTTCGTCTTTTTGGTGATCAATTGTTTGTTCTTGATATTTAAACGGATCTAATGATATTTAACGGATGTTTTCTTAGTTATCTACTTATAATTACTCTATTTCAATCTTAAATTTCTTAATTAGATTATTATTTAGGTATTGTGCTGTGTGTGCGACGGGTAATGATGAAGAGTTTGTCACACTACATACAATAGTTTATTAATAAATGGTACAACGAAATATAGAACAATATAAAACAATACATATTTATAGTCCCGCTGTCATACGCTCGCCGGATGCGCGGTATGTCGCCCGGACACTGAAACGGCGAGGGTCCCGAGCGTTTACGGCGAATGGGCTCGTGCCGTAATATCGTGGTGGTACGTCGATTGGTACCAGGTTGAACGTGGCTGGTTGATATCCGGTCCCGGTGGAGGTATCCAGCGTTGACGACGATGACATTCCACCATCATCGCAGCGATGGTGGAAGCGGAGATAACGGAGGCGGAACAGGACGTCGCCGCTGAAAGCTTCTCCAGCTGTTGCGTTGACGTTTGAAGCCTGGTGATTCCTTGCTCTTACCCATATGTAAGGTCAATTATTGGATGCTTGGGAAGTCATGGTAGATGTCCTAGGATAGGGTTTTCGACAGCAATTATATTTTAAACGGATGCTATCAGGACTGCTATAATCGGAATCAGAAAAATAGTCTTCGCAAATAAACTGATTTTCTGGTTTTAAATGGTTATCTAATCTACAAGCATTTTTCCAACGTGAGAGTGTGTCTGGATCTTTTGGAAATCGGTGAAATTTTTTATTGTTAGGGCTATTTGTGTAATAGGAATTTTGACATGAAGGATATTTACAAGACCATTTCTTTCTGAAGAGGGAAGATGATGCCTTCACTATATTAGCCATTGCGACTCAAATAAATTATAAGAGACAATTGAGTAGCACAAACACAATCTATATTAAAATTTATGATATAAAAGCTTTACTTACATCAACGTTTTGTGGACCTAAAATTAAAAAAAAAATATAATAATCATTCATTGAAATGGTAACTGTTTAATTTATAATAGTAGTAATTTAAGAAAAATTCTGTTTGTTTCCATGTTATGTCGAACATAACCTCGAAACGTATACACGAATTATTTTATATAATTGATGTATTATAATCAACACATAACTTGATAAACAGTTAAAAATCACCTTTTATGTTAATATTTCTTCCACACAACACCACAAAACGACATGAACACCGACGATTGAGGCGAATAATGCGCATGTGCAAGCCGCAAAACCCGCCAAATGTAACGTGCGCGCAGTTGTCAATTTATTCATCAGGTGATGCGCTGCGGCAACATCGTATTTCGTATGGCACGGGATTCCGGATTCTGAATACTAGTTTCACTCCCCTGAACTGGGTTGAGAGCCGGTCGTCCTGTACGCTAGGCTACCGAAGGAAATGAGTTAAAGGTGTTTAAATAACGTTCAAGTAGAGACGACGCTCACATGACAAGTAATAATAATACTTACCTAAAAAATATGCTCTCTATTACTGATCACATTGAGGGTGGGGAAATACAAAAAATAAAAGTTAATACATATATTGCAAATTTAAATTAAACATGTCCAAAATGATAAAAATATACAGACAGCGCTTGTAACGACTTCGATTAAAGTACATAGAAATTCGGCGGAAAAAGATAGGAAACTATTTAAACATTTACCCATAGTGTAAAAGTTGAATTACAAAAGTATAAATTTCAAATGTTCGGTAGCGGGTGTATATCTCTTATAGATTAATCGAAGCTTCGCCGAATTGAGAAGCTCAAGCCCGTTGTTGAGGTTTTTCCAAATATAATCCGCGTAAAGGTGCGGTAAATATACCCTGACGTGCTCCAATTCTACCAAAATGTCTTGATACGATTCGGGAACTTGCACGAAACGTATCACCCGATACACCTTATTCTTCTTTAACGAAGAAATTGAAACTTTAAACCTTCTTAACGCTACACGCCGACTGAAATATAAAGCTATAGCGATATATAATATACATAGGAGGGTAGGTGAAAATTACATAAGCACCATCTATGTTCCAATAGGTCGTCCATAAATTTGAAATAATGTTCAAGTAGAGATGACGCTCATATGCTTTCCAACGGAAGTTGCTCCCCCGTGGAGCGATAACAAATAATAATAATATTTACCTAAAAGTACGCTCTCTATTAATGATCAGATTGAGGGGGAGAGTAGCGTCGACCTGCGGTTTCGCCAGACCTGATATCATCCCAACTGGTTACTAAACGCATGTCGACTCGCTTAGCAGCATTTTCCATAGTTTTACCGAAAACTGCATTGTTCATTAATTTAAAAAAATCCATTTCAAAATCATTTTTAGCCGATTGGCGTAACTCTGTATTTTTATCGATATGTGATTTTAACCAAGCGGATTGTTTAAACAATAAAACTCTATTAACTTTACTTATAATTAATCCGTGTGCAACAGCTTGTTTTAAATTTCTATAATGAATTACATAATTTCTCTTATCAAATAAATTCGGAATTAATCGTTTATCCCTCTCGCATTTACAGTTAGGGGGGATTAAATTCTCGGCTAAGAAAGGTAGATCATTATGTAGGTTGTGTAAGTGTTCAGGATAGGCAATATCCACGTCTCAAATATATCCAAAATCGGAATCATCGGGTATCTTATTAAAATGTAAATTTCGTTTTTATACAAATTGTTAGCGTCCCAATACATTAAAAACGTTGAGGGTGAATTGGGGTCATAATTTTTCATATATTTATTATTTGCTTTAGAATGACGTATCGAGCATTGAGAAATACCTCTGCGTATACCTTTTTTAATGAAATGAATTTGATCTATGTGAATTTTAGCATAGATTCCCAAGATAGTCCTGGCGCCGTATAATAATGAGCGGGATCTAAACCGTACGTTTTGAAACATACACGTCTAAATTTCTCAAATACATTAGCTAATAAAAGAACATCGGTCTTTAAGTACAAATCAGAATAATCCTTAAAAGTTTGACAATTAAATTTTTCCCAAACAGATTGGGCATGGGCATATTGCTCATCAGATATTCCCTCTAAATTTAAATTATTAAAAATTGTCTCTTTAGGAGGTAAGGATGTGGCATTAAGCCTATCAAATGATGACATGGAAAGATTCCCGTTTTGGTTAGCGATTTAAAATGATCATAGTGTGGGTAAAATTTAAACTAAATGAATCAAAAAACCTTAATTTAAAGAAAACATTTTCAGCAGATTGGTCTTCGTTAATTACTTTATCAACCAACACTCTTTTACTAAAACTGATGTATCTCTCTTTATTATTAGGTAATACATCAAGCCCATCTTTGTCTGCATCATCCATTTCTTTAATAAATAAATGACAATCATACCCGCTAAAGTTATGAAAAAATATCGGAATAAAATTTTGAAGTTTGAAATTTAGATTACAATTTGAATGGGCGGGACCTCGGTATTTGCCGCTAATATGACAATGATCACGAACCTTAACCTGGTTTGAATTAAAAGGATTNAACGGAGACACGCCCCCTGGACTCGTTGGACTCGTGCCGCAGCATCTGCAAATGCAGCAAATGTGACGGTTGGCGTATAAAGACTTTAGATTTTTGTTTTTTGGGCGTTCGGATTAGCGGACATTCGTATTACTGCGGTTCGGATTATCGAGGCTCTACTACATTCAAAATTTATAATACAATTCCTTTATTATTATTGCAATATTTTCTGTCCCCTTTCTTGTGAATTGGTACCAATAGCGCCGTTTGCCAATCGTTGGGTAAAATTTTTTCTTGTTACACTTGCTGCAGTATATGCAGTAACACTTCTCTTTCCTGTGACCTTATATAGTTTATCATTTCTGTGTTTAATCTATTTTGACCAGTAGCTTTTCCCTTTTCTATTCTGTTATTACCGTTTTCAACTCTTCCCTCTATGGTTATCTGCTCACCCGTTTCTGTTCTGTTTCTTTTTTGTGGTACCTTGTGGTTTTTGTCGGTAACTTAATCACATTTTGACTATTTACGTTTAACAGTTCCATGAAGTGTTTCTTCAATTTTTCCTCAGTATTAATCCGTTTTTATACTTTACAGCTTTAGTCTCAACTATTTGTTTTCCTAGAGTCGTTCAAGGTCTTAATATTTTAATAAAGAACCTGATTTTTCTTGTCGTTTCTCTGCATCCTTTCTCCGAAGTCTGTTCAATATTGCTTTTTTTTCCTCAATCACCATTTCTTTCACTTTCTTCCTTTCTAATCATCATAACTTTCACGTTTTTGTTTCTTTAGATAACTTTTCCAAACCCATTTATTTGTGTTCAATGTCGCCGATCTCCCTTTGAATTAATCTATTTTCATCCACTTTCTTTGTTAGAATTTCTTCATACTTTTTCTTAATTATATCCTTCCACAATAAATATATAATTTTATATTTGTTCGTAAACAATTTTTTCCTGAAAGGACTAATAATCTGCAGCTTTCAAGATAATTTCATATTTTCCCTGCATACCTTTATAAGTTTGTTTTAAATACTAAATATATGTGTCGGTAATAAATTCAATTCAAAAGACAATTTAAGTATTCAAATTAAAACAATTACAGGTGTAACAAATCTCTGTTGTCACTTCTGTCGAGTTGTTTGAAAATTCTTTCTCCATAATCGTGTTTTCTTCCATGATTTCTTGGTAAAGTTATTTGCTTTCAAAATTACCCAACAAGTAGATATTACCTTCGTCTTCCAACACACACAAATTTAGCTTAAATTAACATTAATAATAACCGATTATAATTTTGTACTACTAGGAGTAGAAAGTGAGGAAGCATTGACAATAATAAGTTTTACTACTTATTATGAAGTATCGAATAGATAGTGCATATAAATTAATGAATTACAATACTTATTAATTAATTAATTACATGTTTTTCATTTTGTTTCAGCTTGTGGACGAATTGCATGGATTTAAGATGGTCAATCATGGTGCAACTAAAATGGGGCCATTATGTTAATAGTAAATATTTTCTCTGATATTCAATGGAACTTCCTTCAGTAGGTCTTCCAAATTAATTACAAAAAAGGAAAATTGATGCTGAACGTCACTTTCCACTGTCACATGTGGGTTATTATCAGACCAACATCAATTTGTGTATTATTTCCACAATATGCTGCTGAGATATTTCAATGATTACATATTTGTGATATGTAGTTAGGAACCAGTCTTTTATGGCTGTGCTATGGATAGGTACACAAGTGTTCTACAACGAATAATTGCCACAGACCTTTAGAATAATTCTTTGTGGAATGCATGTGTACTTGCAACCTGTACATTTTGGGATTTGTTTTGTTAAAGTATCTAAAATGTAACTCTTCCTTATAACTCTGCTTATTTTCTGTGTACTGGGTATTATGTAACTGTTCACACAATTATTTTGCGTCATTCAAACTTCTGTGTAAGTAACATTTTTAAAATTATAACCAAGAACTCAAATATTAATAAAATAAGTTTGATAGAAAGCTTACATCGCAGGTTTCTACTGCATTAGAGCCGTCGCGCATTACATACGCTGGATAGACTAGCTGTGGTATTGATGGTAATTCGCCAAGTGTAGGGTCAGATTCCCACAGACTTGATCTTAGAGCGTCATGTGTGTTAGATTCCAATATTCTCAGAATATTATATTATTATTATTTTAGCGTTATTATGTCTATATGAGTTAAAATTGATTAAATCCATGTTACCAGTGAAGAAAATGGTCAAAAATGAAAGACAGTTTCAATGTACTTTAACTGGTTGTAAAATTTTATTTTTCGTCTGACTAGTTTCGCCTTATAGGCATCTTCAAAGACTCTGCATTGAGAAATATTTGTTTTACAATATTATACAAATCCAAACTTAAACTAATCAAAGGTTTACAACAATTACTTACTCGTTAAAAATGGGAATCCATCTTATCAAAAAATAATTATAGGATTGACAGATTATGTTGTAGAACATTTCTTAATTCCGAAAAATACCATAAAATTAGTTAAACTTTTAAAATTAAAGACGAGCACGTTACAGTTTTAAAAAATGGTTGAACTACGTCGTTGTTAAAAATGAAATGAAAAGTCATCAAGCAGGTTTTGAGAAACAAGAAAAATCTCCGTATTAGACAGAGTATGCTATATGATGTGGAGAAAGACGAGATTAGGTTTGAAATTTTTAAAGTTGAAAAGTAGAAAACTGTATTGAACATCTAATATTTAATTTGAAAATTGAAAAATGAGTGACTGTTTTAAAATTTTTACAAATTTAAATTTATATGTTATTAAACATTATAAAAACATTGTTAACAATGTAGGTTGAGAATCCACTTACAAAAAGTCTTATTATATCTAGGTGGGAGAGGTCAGGTTGAGGAACCTGACCTCTCCCACTGAATGAGGAGTTGCCACTGAATGGCAATTCCTCTGGAGCGACGGGAGAAATCTTTTCGATGGATAGTGTATCCGGGACAGGAGATTTTATCTGAAGGAATAAGTTTGGTTGGGGAGAGCTTCAGTTTGTGGTATATATGATTGTCTTTGTTCTTCGTTTCTTGGTGGAAACCTAATATTTCTTCTCGCAAGCGCTTCCGCGTATTTGGGGCAGGTGGTTGAGTAGGCCGTGTGTGGGCCGTTAGTTTGTACAAGACACTGGTTTATTATTTTCGCGTGTTATGTCGCACTCCGCGGTTTTATGATCTTTAGTGCACTTCACACACTTAGGTCTAGCAAAACAGTTTGAGGTAGCATCAATCCATCGATCACAAATGCCTTTTCACGCTCCTCCTTGGGGGTGTGTGTGTGGAATGATGAGTTTAGTTTCTTGTATGACGGTTTTTCTGTGATCGGGGTTTTTGGTATAAATTGTACACCCAGTTTGGGGTATCTGAGTGTGTAGTTGTTTGAGCCGATTAATTGATTGAACTGAGTCGTAAGTTTAGAATGATTGGGGATACCATCTATGTGAATAGAGATGGGGGGACAAGCAAGTTTAGGTGGGTTTTGGGTTGGGTTTGGGATGATAAATTGTTTGATATTTGTTTGACTAGAAATGTTATCTAGTTCTTCGGGAAGAAGTGAGAATTTGTTGTTGGTGGGAACAATTGTAGGGGTAATTTCGTTGACTTTAGAGGTTTTTTTGAGACTCTGAAATTCTCCTTGATTATCAGATTGTTTTGAATGCTGCGGGGTATCTAACTTTTGGGTTTTAGAAGGAGGAGCGTCGGATTGAGTGTCCATACTTTGTTCCTCTCATGGAATCGAGTATTTGATATTACCTTGGGGGTAGATTCTTCTTCCGATGATGTATCGATAACGAGTTTATGAGATATTTTGTGTTTTGATATTTTGAACAGTGTTTTAGATTTATCAGATAATTTTTTGCTTTTATTTTTATCACCAGCACTGATGACTTTGGGCGTTTTAATATTAATTACACACTTAATTTTAACGGGAATTAAAAATAATATTTACAAAAATAAATTTTCAAAAATAAAATAAACGGTTTGTAAAATAACGTCTTTGTCGTTTACGGGGAATTTTTGTAGCACTTAAAATATTTACAGCTGACCCAAAGTGAATTGGCCCCTCTGGGCCGTGTCAGTTGCGCGAAAGAAGGAGTGCGACGGTAAATCGTTAAAAGGACATCGCTATATCCGAGAGCAGGTATAGAGCGGGTGTCACAAGAGCAAAAATACTTTAAACACGTTTTATAAATCAAAAGAAATAGAAAAAATATTGAAAAGAAATATATAATACTTCAATACAAGTTTTTATTTAAAAAATAAAAATTATAATACATCCATATCGGAATCATCGTCTGACTCTGAAGACTCCTCAGTTTCGGTGTAACGTACGGCTGAGTCTCAAGATGTCGTCCGGTTGAACGTCGTAGTGGGAAGATAAACACAATTTTCTCTTACTTAACTATCTTTATTTTCTCCAGGCGAAGGGTTGGTAGAGTGGAAGAGTATAATGATGTTCTCGGTTGTAGTTCGATACTATTATTATTGATAGTTTTACAAATTTCGAGATCTTTTATATTAAGTCGAAGTGATTAGCAGAGCGCGGCGAGTTTAGCTTACGCGTCCCTCACCACACGACACAACTTGTTCCGCAATAGCAGACAGTGGCGTGGTGTTCCCACTGGTTATAACTGTGAACGCGCCCCGTATTTGTATCTTAAAGATCACAAGATCTGTAATATTAGCGACTTACGACGATAAAAATAGGACACGCTAGTCATTTTCCAATTTATAGGGACTATTTACGGCAACTGAAACAACCATTTCTAAATTTCTTTCCGTAAATGACGTCCTTCGTGATGTAAAAATGCTGTTAAATTTTGAAAATGACCGTTCNCCGAAACAACTTGAAATTTACAATTAAAATTTTTCTCGGACATTAATACGTCTTCATCCCCATTCTCATCATACGCGGCTTTAACATAATTCGCAAAAAACTCAATCTGAACCTTTATAGAGGGGCCACATCGATCTAAACTAACCTCAATCATCCGTTTAACAGCTCCTTCTGATCTCGTTAGGTACGATGGTATATCATCATCGGGTAACACGCTTGCGACTCTATAGGTACAAACTCTACCTTTAAAACAGGATTCCAATCTATCGATGTTATCTTCACCTTCCACCGGGGTTGCATGTTCGAATCTTAGATGAGTCCGAAGGTGAGTGGTAGATATAAAGTCAACACCGCAAATTGGACATAAATTGGAGGGTTGCTGTTTAGGCGGAGGACGTGATGATGACGTATGCTGAACAGAACCCGCTGACGTACTTTTTAAAGGCTTGGAGGGCCGCTGTTTGGGTGGTGGATGTGATGATGACGCAAGTTGAACCGGACCGGCTGATGTGCTTTGTAAAGGTAGTGGTGGTGGCGCAACACAACGTTGAACATTTAATCCATGGACGAGATTTCTTAGATGATGTTTTAATTTATCAGATCTTAAAAAACCTTTTTCACAGATATGGCATTTAAAGTTCGATTCCCGCACATCACCGTGTTTTACGCGTATATGACGGGTAAGATTGCGCTTTAAGGTAAACGCACCGTTACACACTTCGGAAAGAAACATCTTATCGCAAAATTGATAAGCAGCTAGACGTGTGATTAGAGTTATGGTGGTAGGTCGACACTATCACGAGGTGATCACGTGATCCGATAGGCGCTGCTGACAATATCACGACGTGATCACGTGATCAAATAGAAGCTGTTGTAGTGAAGTTTATAATTTCCAAGTATTCCATCACATAAAAATTAATTTCCGATAAATTATTTAAACAGAATTCTTCAATGGACGTCGTGTTATGGATATCATCATCATCATCGTCGTCGTCATCGTTAACTAGCTGTAGGGATTTAATGTATTCCCAAAAATTTAATCCATTCAAAAGGTTCATTTTATAGGTAATTAGCTTCTCCATTGCGAAAATCTTATCGATATCCGTTGAATGAAGTAAAATCGGTATGAATACGCCACTTTCAGAATCCTCAATCACATACGTTAGATACAGGTAATCTTCATCGTCAAATTCAACCTTTAGATTACCCTCGGCCAATGGTAGTGTCTGTGAGGAAACCTCTACATTGAAACGTATCAGTTTAAGGGTAGAAATTAGGTGCTCCCAATCTTGACGTAAAAATGTAATTTGATGTGACTGAGATTCCAAACCTTTACATGTTGTTACTACGAACTTTACACAGGTTGTACCCCCTCTAGCGACGCTAATCCCAACTTTAATGTTGAAAGATTCGCTTGAAAATTGCGTTTCCCCGATAAATTTAGTCTCCTTTTTTATCAATGCAAGATATCGTTTCCACTGCGTACCGACTGAATTCCAATAATCCAAGCCCTTCTCTTCACAGACGTCGTTCACTCCCTCGATGTCCATTTCCAATGTAGAACTGAATTTAAATGTATGCATCGAGTACGTATAATTAATTACCCCCTCCCCAAAATTTTCCATCTTAATAATTTATGGGAATTGAGAGATTGGTCGAAATTATTGTGGAGAGGAGGGATTTCAATTGATCTAAAATTGTTATATAGGGGCAAGTTATCCCTAATATCGATAGGCTCTTGTGACAGGTGTCTACAACCTCCTTTAAATATTCATCGTATTGGAGGATTCGATCGCCAACAAAGAAATTGAAGATGCCGTCGGAACCTTTGTAAACCCCATTGAAAGAAGTCGGAATTCCCGGAAAAAGTTCACCCATCGAAACTATAACTCTCTCCTTTCTAAAGTAATTAAAATCCACTTGAATTGCGTACATGTCATCGAAAAATATGTATGGCAAGCCGTAATTGCTTGTAACTATCCCGTTAACTCGAGTAAAATTGTTAAACCCTAACTCGGTCGAAGTAAATGGCCACACAGACCGCACATTCATACTCTTAAAATCAATTCTATATATTGAATTTTCCATTATAACTATAAGGTCACCTATAGGTGAGATAAACACTTTATAGCTATAGTCTACAGCACGAAAAACATTCCTCAAAGTCGGCAGCCAATCATTTATGTCTATAGGATTGGGTTGATAGTGAATTAAAAAACCCGAAAACGTTGAATCCACCTCGCAAACGTCTCTAAATATTGAGGGTTGAACGGCAGGCTTTGTCGTAGGCCAACTCGTCGTGCTCCTATATGATGACGTAACGTGACTTGAAACGGTCGATGATGTATACAGTTTGGGTCTCCCATATATAGCTTGAATTGCTGCAATATCTCTGCTATTCAACTTGAAATCTTCAATTCTCATGTGACCATAGGTGGGATGCATGATGGAATCGAGTTCAACTCGATGCGTTAAACCTAAGGAATGTCCAATTTCATGCACTATTACCAAAAATAGGTTATATTTCCCATCTACTGTAGAGTTGGATAAATCAAACTCTAAATCTGCGTTTATGTGGATTTCAACATTACGTCCATTAATATAGGGATAGTAAGCGTGAGCCAAAATTCCATTTTTGAATGTACTACCGCACATTGACCCTACGTTCCGTATGCACGTATGGTTATAACCTTTAAACCCGATTAGAATGTTGACGTCGGTAAACGAGCTCTGAAACTTTAAATCTATATGCTTAGCCCAAACCGCAAATGCCCTTTCAACGATATTGGGAAAGCCATCTGGATATTTATTATAGATGGCCCATTTAACTATTGGGATCCCCCACTTTCGATGTATCGTACGTTTAGCGTCTACTGATATGTCTTCCAAGTCTTTATTCCCACATCTTGGTTTACCAATCAAATCCAAAGTATTAAAATCAACTTCACCCGATACTGGCAGTTGAAAATATCCCTGCAATTTACGTAACCCTTCCGTCATTGTTGTATATCCCATTTGATGACGATGATGAAAACCGCTCACATTACCATTTAAATATCCAAATGCTTTGAGATATTTATAGATTTCCATATCCCTATCGTACACCAAATCTTGCATTAAAATTAGGGTTGGAAGCATCCAGAGCGTATATATTAAAATAACTCTCGCAATGTACATGTTTACGTGATGGAGGTTAGACACGGAATGCATGAAGGATTCAAAAATAAATACAATAAATAAAAGTTAATATATGTATTAAAAAAAATTTAACAAATTCTTATACTGAGTGGCCCAAAATTCGCGCAACCAATTGAAAAAAAATGACATTGCGTAGCAAAAATACAAAATTTATTCGGAAAAAAACAAAATACACAAAATTAGTTTGAAGCAAGGCAAAAACCGACTCTCTGGCATCATAACAAATGTTCGAAATGACCTCCTTCTTGTTCGATGCACTTCAGACATCGCTTTTTAACAGCTTTACAGATGCGCTCAAGTAAAGGTTTATCTGCATTCAGCGTATCGACTTCGTTGGTTATGATGTTTTTCATGGTCTCCACATCTGGTAAATCATTTTTGTACACCCTATCCTTTAAAATTCCCCACACGGCAAAATCCAAGGGAGTCAGGTCAGGAGATCTTGCAGGCCACTCTACTCGACCTCGTCTACCGATCCAATCCGGGAAATTTTGATTTAGGAATTCGCGAACAATGATAGCGTAATGGGGCGGCGCACCATCTTGTTGAAGAGTTAAAACACGACCAGAAAAATCCGGGTTATTATTCATTTCATCGCGCAGTTCCATCAACAAATCAAGGTATGCAATACCTGTTACTGTTGCGTCGAAAAAGTAGGGGCCGACAATGCCGAAGGAGCAAACACCAAGCCATACTGTTACACCAGGAACGTTTAATTCTTCTTGCACCGTGATATGCGGATTTTCTGTAGACCAGTACACGCAATTGTGTCTGTTGATTCGGCCATTTAATTTAAACTGTGCTTCATCTGACCACAAAATGGTTTTAAAGAACTCTTCGAACGCTTCACATCGAATTACGTACCACTCAGCGAACTGAAGTCTGCGGTCCGGATCGTCTTCTGTTAATGCTTGTAAAAGACGTGGTCTGTAAACATGCATACCTAATTCCTTCATTATTCGCTGCAAGCTGGAACGAGAAATTTCCAATTCATGGCAAGCCTTACGGACTGATCGCGCCGGTGTTTCAACGAAACTCTCAGCGACCATCTGTACGTTTTGTGCAGTTCGCACGCTGCGTGGCCGCCCCGAACGCTTCGTGTCATTAACAGTACCATTTTGTTCGAACCTTTTTATCAAGCGATACACAGTTTCACGCCTCGGAACTTGACTGTTAGGAAACTTTTCGGCAAAATCGGAGAAAATGTTTCGATAATCGGCATGATAACGGTAGTACGAGCTCACTAAAAACACGCGTTCCGCAATTGTGAACCGATAACGCGCTCCGGCTGCCATAGCTACACACGGACAACTGGTTGACACGGTTAACCTTGTACTAGTGGGGTGAAACCGGCGCATGCGTATTTTGTGTTAGCGTTGCGCGAATTTTGGGCCACTCTGTATTGNGATTGGAAGTTGCCGTCAATTTAGTATCTTCTTCAACCGCCTTCTCAGAAAACTCCGAGGCAATATCCCTGACCGTCAAATTCCGATGACATCGGAACCGATAATAGGGTCTGCTTTCCAAAAACTCCCTCTTCTGGCTACCCTTCACATACACCTCATCATAGAACGACAGTATATCATCCAGTAAATTTAACCCCATCGACAGATCCATCCATCCTCCAATATACGATAGTTTATGGTGATTTCGCTCTAAATACTTGGCGGATCGTTGATCTTGAACCGATAAGCATCGAAAGGGTCTGTCAGCCTTGAAGTGGAGATGTACGGCATAGTCGGTGATAAGGTCCAGAAGTGTGAATTCTTTAACTATGAATTCAGAGTCTATATAGAACCCCTGAATATCAACTACCGCTCTACGTGACTCCATAACTCAGACTATGACGTGCGATCGAAATTGATTCAATTAATAACGATTGATACCTCCCCACTCTACGGTTTATAGGTATACATAGATTCCTGTGTTAGGATACAGTATGCCTTCGTGTTGGCGGGAAAATCTTTATCACTCTGAATTTCAACCCGTACTTCGCATAATGCAGATGGCGCCGCTTCCTCATCATTATTCTTTGTGGTATCAATTACGAATAGAGGTCTTTTCTTGAAACTGTTGAAATCCATTATCGGTTGTTTTCGGTTAGATTCCCAAATGTATGGTTGAAATTCCGTGTACATTTTATATAGTTCAACGTAGTTTTCCTTCGTAAAATCCAAATTCATAGACTCGAATGGGTAGGAATATGAATTTAAATAGACTTTAAGATCTATAATGTTCGAACAGCGTACAATCAGAATTCGGCTGATCCTTTCGATTGGTTTGGAATGCCACTATAACATATTGCGGTCTACCCCTGTTTGTGGTTGAGGTGACAGGCCAAATCTCTTTATTCTCCCGTCTCATAGATGGCAATTCATAAAACGTCCATTTACGGAACCCATCCAAAAGCTTAATCTTTATCGATGGGCTGGGATAAACATGCTTCGCCAGCAATGACACTGTCTTTAGGGTAAACTCTGCAGTGCTGGGGTCGGCTTTCGTCGATATAGATTTAAAACAGTTTGAATCTGTACGGCTTCTAACAAACCTAAACTTGAAACGGCCTCTCATAACCTGATTGTAGTCTCTAAATAATCCAAAAATGTGCACAAGTGGGATTTGAAATACAAAGTTATCGTTTACGCCGTCCACCGTGGGTAAGGCTCCTTCAGGAGGCCATTTTAACCCGGCAATTTCCAATGATTTACATTCCACATCGTTATGGTGTAGAAGGGTTCTAATTAGCGATGTGAGCCCTGGTTCACGAACACGTTCTATTTCAACGCCATTATGTTCGAATGCGATGTACTCAAATAGAAATGCCGGCAAATTGTGCGTTAAACTTACGCTATCTGCAGGATCCGTCAATTTTTTAACATAGTTACCCTCAATTCGTATATAACTCTCGAAAAAGGAAAATAAAACATCTTCTTGGTTCAGTTCAATGGTGAACACATCGTTGTTTTGAAACGAATTTGTTGAAGGATGGTAACTGTGCACCTCTTCCCTAGCGATGGAATTATCCACGATAGGATCTCTATAAATGTTTAATTTTTTTGTTGACATGGTACCCCAAATCTTGAAGGAAACGAACGTTGTCAGGTCGCAACGAAGTCTTTCTGCAGACTGATCTAGACGTTCTCTTACGTTTACATTTATACCCTTTACCCTTTTTCAAGGTAGGCTGTGATGGTGGTGGTGGTGGGCGATAGGTTCCACCAGGCGTTTCAAACATAAATCCCATTATAATGCAACACGTTTCAGCTCTAACCTAAGTACGATTTCCTCTCCTCGAAAGTTTACCAATCTACCGCGCTGATCCAGGAGTCTAAGGGTAATGTTCGTTATCGGTCGATCGGTGTCGACTGCGAAATATATTGGGTTCCTAGGCTCTATATTTATACTGAAGCCAGGATCTACCGCCGGTGCAAATTCGAATAGCGTATGTGACTGCTTATTGTTGTAATATGATCCGGAAATTATATTACACTCCACGCGAACGGACGTCACGCGTATTATATTTACAGGGAGATCGGATCTGTGTAATTGTTCGGGTTTCAGTGTACGTTGGGAGAATCCTAAAATCGAAGCAATCGAATCGGATTCTGTGAAATCAATCTCCAAGTAGTCGCTGCTAATCTCGCACTGTAACGTATTGTTATTAGCCTTGAGGGACAATAGGGTCTCAGNCGTTTCATAATTCATATGGCGCATGTGGCGACATCTACGAGTTAACTCAAATCCTCTCACACATTATTGTTTACCCTTACAAAAACTATAAGTCAACTATGAGTCATTATGTAGAAAAGTAGCTGATCTATTAACAAAAATCTATTTTATTTTTTTCGCTTTAACATCCTGTATCTCAGTAAGGAGCAGACTAAGACCCATTATTGTTAATGAAAATATTATTATTTTGGCCTCCTGAACGTACATTTACAATTTGGCCCATTACTTATGAATCACCCTGTATATGCAATAATAATATAATAATGTTGTCGCTTGTTGATACAAACCCATTATATTTTTAATATATTTGGTAAAATATAAGAAAATAAATGTGAAATGAAAAATTACAATAAATAAGAAGAAGTAATTTTTTTTAGAATTTATTTATTTTTCAATGCAACATTTTTCTTTGCCGATTTATAAATAACATCACGTCCTTTATAACGTGTATCCTTTCCACTTAAAATTCTGTTAAGACCCACTGCCCAATTATGCGCACATAACAAACAAAATTGTTCGATAATTTTTTTTTTTTACAATTTCAATGTGACCACACGATATCGAAAAATCGAATAGTATTTGGTCATTTAAAATCTCTAACAATACACAAAAACTAATTTTTCTTTGCGCTAATTCAGGCAAAAATTGGTTTACGTTATACAATTTAATTAAACCTCTAATCAATTCGGGCGTCGCATATTTTAGACGGGTTGGAACACCAAAACCAAATTCTTTTTCTTTGGTAAAACTATGCCATTGGTCTTTTATGTCCGTGCAAACTAAATTATTTCTACAATAGCTACATTGATGTAACGATCTAATTTTTTTACAAATATAGCCACCCACATAGCTAATAGCAAATCCATCGATTTTTGATATATTATGGGTAACTATATTTGTAATACTATTAACTAAGTCACTATTTCTAATATACGTTTCTGTGGGTAACACATTTTTTTGCCCCAGAAAAGTTTTTATATTTGTTATTATATTTAACGAGTCTGCTTCGCAATTCGCATGTAATGAATGCCGTGATGATAAATTATTAATTAATAATGTTTTGTAATGGTTTTCAAATTGTGTTGCGGAAGGGTTAACGTTCCTTACACCTCTTTGTCTTATTTGACCGACAAAATTTTCTAGAGGGTCTTGATTAAAACATTTTAATTTTAAAAAGGACACTTGACCCTCCAGATTTTTAAAAATGTCTTGAAGTCCATGTATTGTCGCCAACCAATTTTTTAATGAAG